GCCCAAGACGGTTGGCCCAAGGCTTCTTCCAGAGGGCCTGCTCCCCCTCCTCATCACTGTGGCGACTCCAGACTCAGCGCCCCAAAGCTTGGTGCGTTCGCATTGGGCTGGAGATTACCGTGCTGAGCCTCTGTGGAGTGGAGTCCAATCCATGGGTGCCTGCTCTGCGCTGGTGCGCTGGTATGCGTGAGCCCCCTGCCCTTTCTGGCCAGGTCGACGCGAAATAAGGAGTACTGTTGTTATTCTCGACCTTCCCCTCCCGTCTCCTCCACAAGCTCGGCCGCCGAGGTGATGTCAGCCACCCTTTGGCCGACTGCATGCCTGAAAGTTACCTCCTCCTCCTCCTCCTCCTCCTCCTCCTCCTCACTACGCCTTGAGCTGCATTTCTGGCTTCAGCGGCACTGTCTGCTGGTCGAAGCCCCTGCACTGAGATTCACACCATCCAACGTGAACCCGAGCCTACCGCCCCTCCTGGAAGAACTCCTTCAGCTCTTTCGTGGGCGGAGCGAAGCGGTTCTGCAACAGCGCTTGGGTGACGCTCTCAACCATCCTGCAAAACTGGAGACACAAGCACCTCCCGCGAACAACACACGACACGAATTCCGCTGGCGCTAGTCTATCCGCCACTGCACTGTGCCGCTGCTAGTGGGTCATGCCCATGGCTTGTTCTTGGCTGTGGCTTGTTCTCGAACAGCAGCCAAGAAACGAAAACAACGCACGCATAGCAGGGCTCGAAGACATTCGCGCCCTTGCAAGCCCCTGGAGGAACGGACGGAGGGGACCAGATGGCAGGACGGAGCCAACAACTACACGAGAAGGAAATCCGGAACAGTAAGCCATGAGGCGTCTGGATGCTGCCTCAGCCTCGACGCGAAGCTGCGCGTGCTCAACACATCGGTCTGTTAGCGAGACGAGGTGTGTCACACTGACGCTGTATCAACTGTGCGGCAACGGCAGCAGCACCAGCAGGATGGGAATGCATCTATTGACAGGAAAATGCAGAGGACGATCATCCCCTTTGCGCGTGTCCGCAGAAGGCTCTAAGCTCGAGTACCCCGCAGTCCAGAAGATGGTCAACATCCATCCCTGGGCCTCTCCCGCACACAGTCGTGACAAATGTCTTCCAGGCACGTTTGGCCATGACGGCCCCACGGACTACAAACGTGCGAGCCCAAACCTCTGACGCCCTTCTGTTGTATAACGCGTGCCCCCGATCACTTGATACCATTCCTGAAACGGGGAAGGGGGGGGGGGTCGTCGCAGCCGCGCTGTCTCGCGGCCCCCGAAAGGCCGCGAGCGAGAATTCTGCGGGCTTCGTGTCGTGCCCACTTGGGCGTCGGTTTCCGACACCGCGCGGCTCCTTCCACCCCTGCACGACCGGCGGCCTGTCACTCGCCACACCGTTCCGCCTTGGCCAATTCTGGACCACTGGCGGCGTTCCACCTTGAGCGCCCTCGCCGCAGTGAGCAGACGCCGCGCCCACGGCCCTTTTTCTCCTCCTCCTCCTCCTCCTCCTCCTCCTCCTCCTCCTCCCCCTCCTCCCTCGTCCTCCTCCTCCTCCCCCTCCTCCTCCTCCTCCTCCTCCTCCTCCTCCTCCTCCTCCTCCTCCTCCTCCTCCTCCTCCTCCCTCCGCGAGCGGCTGGGGTCGCCGCCGCGCCGACACGGCGCAGACCCCACGGTGAGAGGCCCCTCACGGTCGCTCCGCGCCGCCGGGCGCCGAGCACGGCCGCACGGGGAGAGGCTCGGGTCGGGCGCCTCTGGGGGCACACACACACACACCCGCTCAGTGGACGCACACGCTCGGACGCCCTGGGACACCGGGCGGAGGTGGAGGGGGGAGGAGGAGAGAGTAGAGTAAAGACGAGATGGGCGAGCGCACGGGGAGAGGATCGGATCGGGCGCCTCTGGGGGCACACACCCACTCCGTGGACGCACACACTCGGACGCCCTGGGACACCAGGCGGAGGTGGAGGGAGAGAAGGAGAGAGTAGAGCAAAGACGAGATGGGCGAGCGGCAAGAAGCCAGGCTCAGAGGTCGAGGGGGGCGAGTGGAGCCCCACCCCAGCCCCATCCGAGGCGTCGGCGACCGGCCTCATGTGGAATCCGGCTCGCTCGACGTAGGGACAATCGCGGCACGCAGACAGGGCTGGCCAACACCACTTCTCCCTGGCAGCGACGCTGCCAGCAGAACTCGAGGAAGCAGTCGGCGACCAGTCCAACAAGAGCCCTGCGCCTGGGCACAGTGAGGCCTGCTCCCACGATGACCGCCCCCGCTCACCCCGCGACCGAACCCTCCGCCTCGGCTTCGGAGGACAAACGAGCAGAGCAGCCACTGCTTGAGCAGACAGACGAGCGGCATGCACTGCTTTAACGAAGACGTGTGCACGATCGACCACGGAACGGGCAGAGCGCAGGTGCGCTCAGGAAGCCGTGGGCCAGAGCATGTGCCTGGAACCAGCATTGCCAAAGAAGGGCGAGGAGGACGTGCAGGCTGGGAGAGGAGGAAGCGGACGGGAATGGGCTGGCATAGCGGGAGAAAACAACGGCATAAACATACACTTTTGGCGCTGAGCAGGAGGGGGGGCCCAGCCCAGATCCAAGAGATCCGCGCGGAGCGCAGAAAGTGCATTTTTATCATGGCGCTCCCTCTCTTCTTCGATGGCAGGACGCGGGCGAGCGGGAGAGGGAGCGCAGAGATCGGCCGCTCCTGTAGCACCTCGAGAGCAGCGCCCGCTCGATCCACGGCATGGCGCGGAACTCCTGCGAGGGAGGCGCATAGGGGGCCGGAACAGGCAGAGGGCGGAAGAGCGCGCCGCAGGGCCAGCGCCTGGGCGAGGCATCCTCGGAGGCCGCCGGGGAGGTGGCCGTGGCCCGGGGTGAGTGTCTGCTGTTCCCGGGCGGCTGGCCTCCAGAGAACCCGAGCTGGCGAGGAGGAGGGGGAGAAGGAGGAGGAGGCGGAGGCGGAGGAGGGGGAGGAGGTGGAGGTGAAGGTGGGCAGCTCTTCCTCCTCCTCCTCGTCGTCCTCGGGGGGGGGCTGAGAGGCCCACAGGACCTCACGGGCCCCAGATTGGCGCGAAGAGCTGGGTTCACCTTGGACCTCGTTCCCTTCACCTCCGAGACTGCGGGACGGAGAAAGTGGGGCTCCAGATCGCGACGCATCGCAGATGCATCGGCAATGCGGCGTGATCCTCTTGCCCCATGTGCTCCAGCCCCACGATTCGCGCTGCGAGGTCATCAGAACGACCCCGCGACGCCTCCCCTGAAAGACAACCGATAAAATCACGAAGCGCGATGTAGCGGCATTCGCTTTGCGCCCCAGCGGGTGACCTAGGAACATGGGCAGAAGCATGGACAGGAGAGAGGGAGACGACGAGACCCGCCACTGCGGCAACTCGAACTCACGGCGTATTCAGGTGAGGTAAAGAAAGTGCAAGGTACAACGCACGGCGCGGAGAAACAAAATCCTCCCTCTGGTCCTCCTCGTACTCCACCCCCTGCGGATCTTCACCCTCCTCCACCCCCGCCACAAACTCCGCGGTCCTCGATCCTCATCTTCCCTCATCCTTGACCCTGGATCCTGGATCATCAGAACTCCAACTTCCTCCTCCCCCTCTTGGTACGAGAGAAAGGGGTCCAGAGGGAAACGGGGCGTGGACCCCAGACCCCAGGGGATTATTCCACAACCTGCTTTTCATCCGGAGTCGCTTCCTGACCGTCCTGGAACCCTGGGGGGCCAGGGAAGCGAGTTACACTGTGGCAGAAGGAGGCCCAGCAGAATCATAAAGCAAAGCGAGCACTATACTTAGGTCGGGCATGTCATCCGTCCTGCAGCCGGATTTTGGAAGAAAAGGTGAAACATTTCAAAACATGTTCGAAGAAAGTCAAACATACTCCAAGCATCGTCACAATATTATGTGTTTGTTGGCTCCGTTCGAATGTTCCTCCTGTAGAGGTACGTGCCCGCCCTAACGCTATACTCTGCTGCCCATGCGGAGCGACCACGCGCGGGAATCCCGAAGGCGGGAATCCCGAAGGCGGGAGACCATGCGGGAGACCATACAGTGGAGGCCACTCTCCACGAGAGACCTTCCACGAGAAACACAACCTTCCACGAGAAACACAACCTTCCACGAGAAACCTTCCACGAGAAACCTTCCACGAGAAACCTTCCACGGATTTTCGGTGTGGGAGCGCCACGCTTTCCACAGCAAAAGCCATCGAAACCCAGGCAGGCAGGCGGCGTGCTTCCTGGCACGGGCCCCCACTGTGTGGGAGACCACGCCGGAGAGCGCAGGCGGGAGACCGCGGGCCACTGATTCCAGATCCCCCGCTCGCTCGCACGCGCGCCTTACGTAGATTGGAACGGCCGAACCCTTGCAGACCAGCTGCTGGGGGACAAGCAGCCCAAAGCCTCTCCGGACTCAGGACCCGTCCCCCTCAGTAGGGGAACGAACAATGACATAAACATAAACATAACAACTCAAAGGTCCGCGCGGATTCTTCGGATCGGCGCTGGGGCCCCCTGGCGGCGCCTCTGGCGCCGCCCCTGGCGCGCTCCGCGCGCCAGGGAGGGGGGTCCAGCGCGGATCTGAGACATCCGCGCGGACAACGAGTTTTTATGTTTACGTCATTGTTCGCTCCCCTAAAGCGGCCCCAAACCCGAAGACTCAGGCCCCGCCCCCTTCAGGACCCCGTACTTGATGTCAAGACCCTCGAGCCGCCTCGATCCTCGCGGCGACCCGGGCTCGCTCGCACGTGCCTTACGTAGAAGGGGCCGGTCAGAACCCTTGCCGGCCAGCTGCTCGGGGACAAGCAGCCCAAAGCCTCTCTGGACTCAGGAACCGTCTCTCCCTGCCATCGCTCGGGCGTCCAACCCCCGTGCATCTTTCGCCTTCGCGCGTGCCTCGCTTGGCCAGACGGCCCAGGATGCTCCTCGATGGTCCTCGCCGAGAACAAGCGCACACGCCCGAGCGACGCCAAGCCTCGGGATCCCCGTCCTTGATGCCAAGACCCTCGAGACTCCTCGATAGGGGGCCACATGTGAACCCTACCCCTACCCCCCACGATTTCTGAGGGGGAGGGGTAGTGTTCACATGTGGCCCCCTACTCGATCCTCGCTGCCGGCCGCTCCTCCTCCGTGAAGCTCGTGCCCGTGGACAGCTCGGCGCCCAGCGAGGCCTCCGCGCGCCGCGCCCGCCGCGTCCAGCGCCGCGCGCCGCGGCCCCGCGCGCACGCGCGCCGCGCCGCGCGCAGAGGCCCTGGAAGCTTCGGCGCGAGGCGTCCTCCCTCGTCCTCCCCCTCCTCCCTCGTCCTCGTCGCCATCACCATCTTCCTCCTCCTCCTCTCCTCACTCCTACGGGTCCTCCTCCTCCTCCTCCTCCTCCTCCTCCTCCTACTCCTCCTCCTCCTCCTCCTCCTACTCCTACTCCTGCTGCTGCTCCTCCTCCCCTCATCCTCCCCTCCCCTCGCCCTCGGCCTCCTCCTCCTCCGCCTCATCCTCCCCCTCCTCCTCCTCCTCCTCCTCCGCCTCCTCCTCTACTCATTTCCTCTTGTCCTCTTCTCCTCTTCTTCTCCTCTCCTCTTCTCCTCTTGTCCTCCTCCTCCTCTTCCTTCCCCCTCCCCATCTTCCCGCCCTCCCCCTGCTCTTCCCCTCTCCTCTCTTGTTGTGCTGTTTTGGGGGGCCTCCAGGGGCCTGGGGTGGCCCAGGGGATCTCTGGGGAGGCGGGGCTCCCCGAACGAGGAGGGGCTGGGGGGGCGAGCGCTGGCGGCGCGCGGGAGGGGGCGTGCGTCTGAAGAGGGCGGGGTCCCAGACCCCAGACTTCCCCGTGTGTTTTTCGATATGGTCTGGGTCCTCGTCTTCCCCCCTTGCAGTATGTCCATGAGAATCGACGTGCACCTCCCTGCACGGGTCACCTCCCTGCACGTGCCGCTGAAGACAAGCGTGACGTTGGCGTGGAACCAGCAAGACATCGCTGGTAGCGGTATGCCCCCGATGATGTAACTGGACGTTCCAAGGCAGGGAGGGGTAAATGGAAGACGCATGATGATAAATGGGCGATTCGGGGTCGATGTTCCCCCTCTGAGCCCTAACCCAATTCTCCCCTCTCGCCCCCCTGACGACTTCAAACATGGTTAAACATGATGCAGTCGGACCTGGACAGAAGAACACCCTTTAAGAACACGATACCCTCTGTCGGCCAGGGCGAACAGACCATCCGAGGGGCCCCTCCCCAGGATGCACAAGAACATCCGACAAGCACAACGAACACTAGTAGAGGAGCAACACACCACTTAAACGTGAACTGTTGGAGGTCCGCGCTGATGTCTTGTATTTGAGCCGCTTTTTCTTTGTCGAACTTGGGTACGGCAGGTTCGTGTCGTGACGACCCCAACGTTGGTCTCTGACACCGCGTGGATCGTTCAACCTTGAACGATGGGCGGCTGTTCGATCGACCGACCGTTCCATATAGGCTAATTCTGGGCCACTGGCGGCGTTCAACCTTGAACGCCCGCGGCGGCGTCGCCGCCAGTCGACACGACGCGAACCTACCGTACCCTCCCCGAACCGACCTCGCTGTTGTGCCCCGGTCCGACCGCATCGGCGGGTCTCACCTCGGCCAGAGCGTCCGGGCGCCCAGTCTCGGGCCTCTCGGGCCCGCGGGGGCCCGTGGACACCTCAAAGGCGGGGAAGGAGGGAGGGGGCCCAGGCATCCAGCCCCAGGGACGCGAAATGGCCTCCCCCTCCTCCTCCGCCTCCTCGGCCTCCTCCTCCTCCTCCTCCTCCTCCTCCACCTCTTCCTCCTCCTCCTCCTCCTCCTCCTCCTCCACCTCCCTCCTCCTCCTCCTCCTCCTTCTCCTCCTCCTCCTCCTCTTCTCCTCTTCTCCTCCTCCTCCCCCTCCTCCTCTTCTCCTATTCTCCTCCTACCCCCCCCCCTCCTCCTCCTCCTCCTCCTCCTCCTCCTCCTCCTCCTCCTCCTCCTCCTCCCTCACCCCCTCCTCCTCCTCCTCCTCCTCCTCCTCCTCCTCCTCCTCCTCCTCCTCCTCCTCATTCGCCTCCTCCTCATCCGCCTCCTCCTCCTTCGCTTCCTCCTACTCTTTCTCTTCCTCCTCCTCCTTCACGATGAAAGTTGACCCCACGGAAACGGCGAACAACCAGGCCACACGCACACTGTCGACGATCAAAAGAAGGATCTCACGCTTTGTCCAAGCGATCAACGTCCGAATCCGAGATTTTGTATGCCACCCCGAAGATGCCACCACCAGGAAAACCGCAAGACAAACCTGGATCCCATGTTGGGCGGCCACAAGAACAATCTTTGTCACAGGGGTGCCCAAGGAGAACGAACCAGGTATGTTACGCACTTCCCCAGTCTGATAGCGTGCCGACCTTACGCGGCGGCTTACGCGGGCCGACATCGCGGCACGCCATATTGGAGACGAGGGCGCTTACGCACGACCTTACGCGGGCACCCTGCGCGCCAATGTCGGCACAGACGCCCAGTTTGCTGTTGCGTCGCTTACATGGATCCGAGGAGAGGACACGTGGAACCAGATGTCGCGCAAGTGCCACCTCAGTTGGCTCTGGACTGCTCACGCACTGCTGCATTTGCAGATCGAGCTGGCCGGAGAGCCCAACCTGGTTGCGGCGGTATTTCATCCGCAACTTGAGATTGCGATCTCGATGCGGACGCAGCAACAGTGGAGGGAAGAACCGCAAGGCTCCTGGTCTGTCAAGGCCGTCCAGCGACAGCACAAACAACGTCAGACCGAAGCGACAACGAAACCGAACCAGAACGAAGCCGACGGGCCGCAAACATCCTAGACAAGCGCGAACGGGCAACGGCCGAACCGACCGAAACCAACTGACTGCGATGCAGCCGAAAGGACCGATCCTGGACACTATTGTCTCTCAGTCCCCCATCCCCTAGCCCCGTTGCAAGGCTTCCCTCCCTGCTCCCTCCTTGTGCTGTGCTCGGGGATCTACTGACCCGGGTCAATCCAGACCCTGGTCAGTCGGGCCTTGCAGGATCCTGCAAGATCCTGCAGGACCATGCAGGATCCTGCACCCACGCCCAGGCTAGTGCGATCCTTGCTGCGCAGGATCCTGCAAGACGTGGCGCTCTGACTGACCCTCGCTTGCATTGACCCCCGTGTCTTGAACCCCGACGTGTCCGGCCATGCCCCTCTCCAGTCTTTGCACCCTAGCCCGCGACCTCCTTCCTCTTGCCTCGGCCCTCTCTGCTGCTCCGCAGCCGCGTGGGAGGCACCGCGGCGTCAAGTGCGGAGCGGGCGGCGAGCGCGCGCGCGCCAAGCAGCCGATCAGGTGAGGGGTGGCGGAGCCCCTGTGGGGCATACCCCAGGAGGTGCAGTAGGAGCTCGAGCACAAGAAACCTTCCACAAGAAACCCAACACTGGAAACCCAACACTTCCATTGATTTTGGGGTTGGAGCGTCACGCTTTTCATAGCAAAACCATCGAAGCCCGAGAAACCCAGGGCACCCAAGAGGCAAGCAGGGTGTTTCTTGGCGTGGGCTTCCACTGTACCTCACGCAGCTGGCGGAGACTGACGACTCAGGCGCGACGCCAGCCAGGCGACCGCCGAGGCGGCGCCGGAGGGAGGCCGGAGGCAGGATAGCAGCAGCGGAGGCAGCAGCAGCTGCTGCAAAGCCCCAGCGGCAGGCCTGCTGCGAGTAACTGTCTGGAGAAATGGTTCGGCCCCCCGACGGAGATACCATCACCAGAGAGCATGCAGCAGACAGAGGCTACGACGAGGCAGCGGCCCGTCGAAGCCTGGAGGGGAGCCAAACACGGGCTCCGAGTGCGCACGCCAAGTGGATATGCAGCTGCCGGCCCAACGGCAGAGGGGCGCATGCCACATGGCAGCAACTCCCCAAAGCTGGGAGGGAGCACGGGGGAGGCGGAAGCCGCCCAGAAGCAGGTGCCAAGCCAGGGCGGGTGGAGGGCCAGGAGAGGCGACGCGCGCCGCCAGGGGAAGTCATCCGGCGGCGGTGCCCATCTGCGCAGGCCGCGAGATACAACGACCAATGAAAGGCAAACAACTTTTTCATCCGCGGGTCGAGAGCGCACCTCTTCCGGTCGAAGCTAAGCGGGCCGCGCAAAGCTTGAATTAGGCAAAGAAGAGGAGGGAGGAAGCGGCGGAGCCACAGAGCGAGGCCGAGAGGAGGCAGTGAAAGGCAAACAGGGAGTTGCCCAAAAGTGAAGCCCACGGCGCGGGCTGGCCACAGGGACTAGTCGGCGGCGGAAGGGAGCGCGGTGGCAAGGCCAGCCCCGGGCTGCTGGCTAGCAAGGGAGAGGTCACAGGTCACAGGCGCACTGAGGAAGGGCCCCTCCGCCAGGTCCACCTCCAGCCAGGGGTGAATCGGAGTGAGGGTAAGCGAGAGAAACCAGGGGCCCAACCACGAGAGCCAGAAGGCCAAAGAAATGTGACGATCAGGCAGAGCACGTGGCATCCTTGCTCGGGCTGCCCACTGTCCGCCCGAGTCGCGGGACCGAACTCATCGAAGGCATAGCCGAAACGGCTTCAGCTGCCCGCGCGTGGAGTGCGTGATACGCTCCGACCCTGCTTCGTCCTTTCACCAGTGAGGTGTCGCACCCAGCTGGTGGTGTCGCAGGAGGCATCGAACGGGGTAGCTGCCGTCGGAGGGGCGAGTGTCGGCGCGGCCGCCTCCACTGGGGCAGGGATGGTCCGCCTCAGGGTATTCGGGGGTGAGTGCCCCCTTCGATACCCAGGGAGGTGAGGGAAGCCTCAAGAGCATCCTCTCTGCGCGCGTGGGGTTCAAAGCCTGTGGAGGGGATCGTCGGCGACCCATGCGCCCGCATTCGCGACTGCCGCCTTCAACCGGTCGGTCACCCAATGACCCATGAGCCAGGGCGTTCTGAGTCCTGCTGCTCGCGCACCTGGCGGCCAGGGGCACTGTCGATGGAGCATCCCCAGTCACCGACGCGGGGTGGCTCGTGAGGGGGCGGCGTTCCCCTGCCCATCGGCGAGGGAGCAAGGCTCCTGGAGGGGGCCGTGGGGGTCGTGCGCGGCCCCTCCCTGTCGTCCCCCCGAGCCTGGCGTCGGTGGCGGCGGTCTTGTCGCTGGGTGGGGAGGGCCAGCGCCGCTGCGGGCAGGAGGTGCGGCCCTGCCCCCCGGAGGAGACGAGAGGTCGCAGTGGCGGACGGAGGGGGGCAGCTTCGCCGGGCGTGGAGCAGTGGCGCGCAGGCCGAGGAGCCTCCTCTTCATACTGCATTGTACTCCTCATCATCAATATCCTCACCCCCGTCTCTCTCATGCTCTTCCCCCTCCCTCCTCATCCTCGTCATTTTCCGCATCCTGTCCATCCCCCTCTACTCCCCCCATCCTTCCACCCTCTGCGGCCAGCAGCACCTCTACCCACCCGGCATCCCCTTTTCCCCGCCACGGTTTCGCCATCGGCAACCTATTACCAGGATCGACACCACCGCAACCGATGTCGTCACAATCGTCATCGTCACTCACATATCGTATCGCCGCCACCATCCCCACCGGATCTGGCCTGATTCTTCTCGTACCTGTGCGTGGGCAAACTGACAGCACAGAAATGCAACAATCTCTCAGACACAATTGGCCTCGCCTGCAAAACCACTGGCGATTGCCACGCCACAATGCTGCTATCCAGAGTGTGCAGCAGTACTGTGCGACCTGCACGATCGTAAGTACTCGAGAACGCGCTCTGCCAGGTTCGGGGGGGGGCACCGCAACCAGCAACACATCGCACAACAGAAGAGCGAAATGGCCTCGGAGTGGTCGCCCAAGAAAGTTGCTCCAAATGAGCCGATGACAGCTCTGCGGGGGAAGAGGCTGGCGACTGATGCGACGGGCGAGGTGCTTATTAAAGAACCAGGGCCACACTCCGCCAACACGGTGTCTCACTTCCCGAAAGCAAACTCTGCGACAGGCTATGCTAATATTACACTGTCCTGGGCAAACTTACTCGTGGCCCTATCGTACAATAATCCGTGCCGTCCCACCGCGACCATGGCGACACATGCCCTCTAACGGTGCTGCGTTGCACGATGCACGGCTCGCGCGCAGAGAGTCAGCACGATACTCTGCCAGCAAGGGCAAGGGCAACTCGTGCAAATACAAAAGAACAGGGTACTCGATGATGATGAAGCGGCCGACGTTCCTGATCCCCACCGTCCATTTTAAGAAAGCGGTAACTGACAAGGAGAGCATTGTTTGTTCGCAATGATGGTATGGATCCCTCGAAAACTGGCTCCGAGTAGATTAGGAACGAAGATCGCACTGCATCCTTGGTGAGTCGGCCATGCCTCGGCGATGCTGGGAGGAAGAGAGTCGGGTTCCGGATCGCTCCGCATCGCCAGTGCTTCGCCGATGCGGCGGTCAACGGAGCCGCACTCCCTCAGACGGCCTGGATGAGGCAGGCTGGCAGGAGCCGGCGGGCCAGCACAGACCGAGCGGCTCCGAAACAAAGGGCAAGGGTTCCCCTTAGGCCGCTATACCGCACGGGCATGGGCGCTGACAAGATGTCCCCGGCGTGGCATGGGTGAGCCTGCGCCCCTCCAACAAGCCTGCGCCTCTGCCCATCCCCCCTCCGCTTCCCTGCCACTCTCGTTCTCCGCCTCCCTGTTCTTGCCGATCCTCGTGCTCCTCACGCCCCTGCTATGGGCACCACCTGGAGGCAAAACCTATTCCTGCTCCTGCTGCAACTCAGCATCTCACTCCTGCTGATGCGCCTCCTCATCACCCTCTCTTTCCACGCCGTCCAGATTTTGTTGGCGAAGCTCTTCGCGTTGTCCATAACGCCCTGGCTCAGCGGCGTGTCCATGCCAGGCTGGCTGCTCGTCAGGAGGGCGTACCTCGAGTGCGTGCTCGGAACCGACAGCCCAGTCCATCACACGAGGCAATTGAAATTCTCACGATATCTCAGCCCATCACCAGGCGAGTATCGTAAGAGCGGCTGGTAAGGGCATACTCAGACTGTTGGATCGCGTCTCGATCGCGTCTCGACCTGCAAAGATTTCGACGCCCATCGAGACTCTGACTTCACGACCTGCAGCAACACCTGGGTCGACTTGCCATCTGAAGATTTCTCTATGATGAAACTTGGTGCAACCCTCGTGGTGCGAATCCCGGCAAACAGAGTGCACTTGTGCATCATAGAGCCCTCCCTTGCGAGTAGGAGTGGCACAGTCTAGAATCTGAAATATGGGGCTCCTTGTGTCGCTGGAGTGGCGGGCGAAACGATACTGCGAAGGCGCGGCACGGGAACGCCGCGGACCATGGAATGGTGAGAGCCGCCAACTGTGCAGGCGACGGGCAAGCCCCGCAGGGCTGGGACGCGAATGCGCCCTCGAAAACGACGCGAAGATCGGGACAAAATCGGATCGGGATAACTCGAAATCTCTGAGAATTGGTTGGTTTGGAGGATGTATTGGGCGCCGCGGCCGCTCCAGAGCGTTCCGGAACGCTCTGAGAGCGCTCGGGAACGTTCTGGAGCGCCCTGTTTGAAATTCGCCCTCGCGGGCGGCCGAGGCGAGGCGCCAAGTGGAGCCGGCCATGCGCCTGGTTCGCTGGCAGCTGCGGAATCCCACATCTGGCCATCGCTCGGATGCCATTCCCTGTGCTTTTTTCGATTTCGTGCGTGGTTTTTTCGCTGAATAATCAAGGATGCTCCTCGATGGTCCTCGCGGAGGAAAAAACGCACACGTCCGAACGGTGCCAGGACATCGGTGGAGAAGCAACTCTTCGGGCCCGCGGCTTGCGCTCCGCGTGCGGCGGCTCTGCTCCACGAGAGCGGCGGAAAACACGCTCTCCTGCGAGGCACCTCTTCCGCTGCCCCCCATAAAACAGGGCTAGGATCGGGATAAATCGCTCCAGAGCGTTCCCGAGCGATTTCAGAGCGTTCCGGAACGCTCTGGAGCGGCCGCGGCGCCCAATACATCCTCCAAACCCGCCGATTCTCAGAGAGTTCGAGTTATCCCGATCCGATTTTGTCCCGATCTTCGCGTCGTTTTACCCCATGCTCGGCCTCGATTCCCGGCGCCGAGTGATGAACAGCCGAGCCGTACTGTTTTCCAGCAGCGCAGGACCAAACACGAGCACAGGCTGCGCTCGAAGCATGCGTGGACTGGACCGTGCGTCGGCGTCAGCCGAACTTGTTGGCGAAACAAAAGAATATTGGAGAAAATGCTGCCCTTTGAACGCAGAACCTGGCCTGCACGATGTCAGGCAACCTCCGCCGTGGGGCGCACAACGCTGCAATGATGATCCTGTATGACCCAACCATGAGCATCAACCATTGATGTGGATCGACAGTCGACGGCTGGACCGAGAGGAGAGAACAACAACATGAGATTGTAACATGGCAAAAGATGCAGAATTCAAGTTGATGTCATCACGGCGACCTGGGCCAGATATGGGATACCGAAGGGCATCTGTGCCCAACTCCTCGATCGACACCAACGGATCCACGACGTTCCCCGTGGTCTTGCTCATCTTCTTCCCCTGCAAGCGAATACGTCACAACAATCAGAGCCATGTTCATACAATATGGCGTACAATGCCCTAGGGAATCCACATGCGGGTGATGCCAAAACCTCGTCTTCACATGCATGGATCACTGCGCAACATATCGCACTGCGATCGGCTCGTGATTCAAGCCAGCAGTGATATGTCGAGGGAAGACAACACGTGAATGCACGACGACCTTCACAGAAAAGAGACGGGCAGGCTGGCAACGGCCTTCTCGTCCCTAACCAAGCCATGAAGGTATATCTCCTTGAAGGGCGTCTTCCCCGTAAGCGTTATGCCCATCATAACCATCCTGCACTACGCACAAGAGCGACCACTGTCTTCGTCTACCCATCGCCATCATGTCTCCCAACTACGCTGTTTGCCACAATAAGTGATGCTATGATCGCACTCGCATATATACACGCCGTCCTAAAATCATATTCAAGCCGTTGTGGACGCTCTACGACCTCTCTCAGGAATACCGCGGAACCACTGCAGCCGACGAGTTGAAGATCACACATTTCGTCCAACTATGGATGAATGTCTCAGGACGTGGGCTACATCAAACGATCTGAAGGTCCCCTTGGCTCACTGCTGTTAACTTTTGGACGGGAGGAAACGCAGGGTAAGATCGGACACGAGGCGAAAGTAGGATGAATAATCAGCGGGAACATGACCGACGATAATGCGAAGTGGCAGACCGACAAATAATGAGGGGGGACAGCCAAGGGGAGATGCAGGATGAGAAACAGGACGAAGAACACCGAACACGCCAACCAAATAATGTGGAAACGCAATGCGCGTGCGGGGGATAACCGATGGAAAACTCACTCGACTGTGGTTGAATTCAGAGAGCATGCTTGGGCCGTCTTGAGGCTGTCTCGGGGCGTTTCGGGGGGGTCTTGGGGGCCTCCTGGGGCTCGGGCTTGCGGGGCTGTCCCAGGTAGATCTTGAGAGCTTCTTGGGCCGTCCTGGGAGCTACGAAAACAGAAAGGGCGACAATGTTTGAACCGCGCATATTGGAAGAGCACCAATGCTCAGGATATCTGAGGGGCCTCGCGGGACCTCTCTTGGACCGCTGTCGCGGAATCTCGGGGCGCTCGGGTGCAGTCTTTTTGGACGCCCGAAATGGGTACCGAAAGAATGGGTACTATGTCCAACAGCAAATGTTGTCCCAAACCAACAGCGGCCGCTGTTGGGCGGGCGGCCCTCTGTCTCGAATGGGCACAGGCCGCGGCGGCGCGGACAGCGACACCTGTTCAGAACGAACAGGAATTTTTGTTGGGCATTATACCCATTCTTTCAGTACCCATTTCGGGCGTCCAGAGTCTTGGGGCCTTCTTGGGCGATGCTTCGGTCGACTCGGGCCGCCTGCAGGGCATCTCGCGGGCCGTCGGACGACGGTCTTTTGGCCGGCCTTGGGGCCGCCTGGCGGTCGGGGTTGCGGCTCCCCAAGGTCCCCAATGCTACGGCCGATGTCACCTGGCACGCCGGATTGCAAACAAAAACCCGAAGGATTGCAACAAAACCCAGGATTGCAACGAAGGATTGCCAAAAAACCCTGGATTGCAAAAAACATGGGTTTTTTGCAATCCTTCGTGCAACGAAGGGTTTTTTTTGCAATCCTTCGGGTTTTTTTGCACGCCTTGAACGGGTACGGGGAACGGGGGTACGATGCCCGACAGCAGATGCTGCCTAAAAACGACAACCGCCGCAATCGAGTGGGCAAACGACCCTTCATCTCAGGTGCAAAACGTCACGGCTGCGGCAGCACCTGCAATTAAGTCGGTCGACGAAAGATAAAACAATACTCAAACCATATTCCAAACTGGTGAAACAATGCTCAAAAAGTAGTCCCCATAATATTTTTGGACTACTTTTTCTATGCTTGGGGTATTTGTTGTTTTTCGTCGAAAATCACCTGTAGGGGGACACGCCCGACTTAAACCTACAGCGAGCCTCGTTGCACACGGGTAAAAAGCCGATGTTGAGCTTCGTCCCCTCTCTTTCCGCATCCCGACCGAGCGTGCTGGGTCGCGGCCCGTGGGCCACTGGCCTTAGGTCGGGCGTGTCCTCCTACCGACGGCTTTCGAAGGGACAGACAAACGTCGGCACCAGACTCATGTTGTATTGGTTTTGGATATTCCTCCTGTCGAGGGACGGGCCCGACTTCATGTTACCGACCTTCGTCCCCTGTCTGTCCGTATCCAGTCCGAGCGTCCCGGGTCGCGGCCGTGGGCCACTGGCCCCGTTCCCCCGTTGTAATAACACCATACGGTAGGGGCCAAACCACAAGGAACCCTCCGCAGGAAACCCAACCCTGAGGCCCCAGGACGTTCATTGGTTTTTGGTGTGGGAACGTCGCGCTTTCCATGGGAAACCATGGAAACCCAAGAAACCCAGGGCACCCTGGAGGCAAGCAGGGTGTTTCTTGGCGTGGGCCCTCACTGTAACACAGCTCGTAACAGGCATGCGCTCATATGTGCAAGCTCACTCAATGAATCACATACTTTGAGCCCTCCAATCCTTGCAACCCAAAAGAATAAAATGTCGTACCCGGTCTCCAGCATTGTCGCCGGGTAGTAATTCTTGAAATCAGGAGCCGATTCATCAGGCCAACCGACCGTTGCAAACGGCCAAAGTCCAGACGAAAACCACGTGTCGAGTACGTCTGGGTCCTGAGCGCGCAACAGCGAAGCCAATCAAGCTGGCATAACGTGGATCCGCAGAAATCTTGCAAATTCAACTTCAAACCAACAATCTTGATCCAGACGCATGAATCGGAAATGCCGGAGGGTATAAGGTTATTACTGTATCTCGTCCTCCTCCCCCTCTGCCGCGAGATGCATGGTTCCCTGAACAACGAATGCGGCAGGGGTCCCGTTTGAATGTTACAACGTGCTCACAAACCACAGAATGCAAAACATGTACAGCCTGCGTGAAACGCCGCGCGGCGCCATGCCCGCGCGCCGTGCCAGAATACAGTGGAGTCCAGTCCACATGAAACCTTCCACAAGAAGAAACCCAACCCTGAGACCCCAGGGCGTCCACGGATCCTTGTTGCGGGCACGTCACGCTTTCCATCGCAAAAGATCGAAACCCAAGAGACCCAGGGCACCCTGGAGGCAAGCAGGGTGTTTCTTGGCATGGGCCTCCCCAGTACGAACCATGAGCAGTGCGGTACTCTGGAGGCGAGCAGGGTGTTTCTTGGCATGGGCCTCCACTGTACGAAACATGTGCAGTGCCGTACCAAAAATGCCGTGCCGTGCGCGTGGCGTGCCGTGCTCAACGTGCCGTCCACGCGCGCGCGCCGCGCCGGAACGCTGGCACGCGGAAACCTTTGCCGCGTCCTGCCATGCCCGCGTGCCGTGTCGCGCGCGTGGCGCGCCCGCGCACCATGCTGTGCGCGCACCGCGCCGTGAGAGATCTAGGACATCGCGAACACGCGTGCGAACAAAAATAATAGCTCACGAAAGCTGGAACATGAATCGTGAAGCGCGCGTGCTGTACGCGCGCGCGCGAGCTCCAGAGCATCTGGAAGGCGGTGCACAGTGCCGCGCCGTGCCGTGCCGTGCCGCGCGCCGTGCTGCCGTGCCGCGCGCGCGCGCCGTGCCGTGCCTGTGCGCGGGCTTCGTGCCCGGCGTGTGGCCGTCTGCGTGCCGTCCGCGTGCGCGTGGCGTGCGCGTGCGCGTGGCGTGGTCTCGGCGCTGCTGTGCAGCGCCTCGGCGCGGGTGCAAGTGATGGGAATGGCCCTGATGGGCTTGTTTTCCACCACCGCCACCATAAGTTGGAGGGGGGAGATGGTCCTCACCCTCTTCTTCGTCCTCCTCCTCCTCATCCTCCACCTCCTTCCCTCCTCCAACTTACGGTGGTGGTGGAAGACAAGCCCATCAGGCCCTTTCTGGCGTGTGCCGCATGTGCGGCCAGCGATCAGGCAGCTGCATGCGAGCTGAGAGTCATCAGACCAGGGCCCCGTGCAAGTCAAGCAGCCACGGTACCAGCACGTGGGCCCACCACACAGTGGGGGGGGGAACTCTGTGCGTGTGGAGCCCGATGTGTGTGGAACCACATATGTATAAACCTACGCATATGGGCCAGAACGTGTAAACAAGCCCATGCGCGTGGAACTCTATAGATTCGCGTGGGAACCAACACCTGCGGAACACCATGTGCAGAATACTGTGCGTGCGGAGCGCGAACCGTGGAGGAACCCCGTGAGTGGAGGAACCCCAGGAGTGTGGAAGCCCATCGCGTCTTGCTGCTAGCCCTGCCTACTTTACGGGGCGGACGCGCTCAGCTCTCGTCCATCCACACAGAGCGCCCCGCGCGCCGCTCCCCCAGCACGCAACGCTCCCCATTCCGAAGGGGCTCCCGAGGGTGCACAGACCCTGGCCAAGGCGACTGGGCGCCCAGGTCGGGGAGACGTAAGATTCGGATTCTGGGGACTCGCGTAGGCCTGACGGGGCCGTCGGGAAAATTGCGAGACCCAATGTGAAAGTTGACGCGGGATCCGCGCTGCAAACATCCCACGAAAACTGGACCGTCAAAATTCGGGACGGGTCAATTCGAAAAGCGTCGGCAAACCCAAGTCCCGGCGAACACGAATCTTACGTTTCCCCGACCAAGGAGCGCTCCCCTTTCCTATGAGAGCTCCCTTGAATGCGGTGCCGTGACGTGGCCTCACTTTCACTTCCGCACTCACGAGGCGCTGGCTGCCCCATGCGTGCGAACCCAACATATGTCGAACTACACGCGTGTAGAGTCCCCAGCGTGTGGATCCCCTTGGCGACTTCGACGGAAGCACCATGGCAACGAAAGCTCGACCCCGCAAAGCACGGCCTGCTGTTTGAAACAAAAGGAGGAGCCCCTTACTGTCAGCACCGAATTGGGAAATTACTGGAAGATGCAAAAACGCATCAATACTTTTGCTAGCACCAATGGTCCCCATCTGCTGTTTTCACGAGCTCGCCCCCACTTAACACATTCGCCAGAGTGCGCCCATAGGTCTCAACGGTGGTCGCCAGGTCCAGCTTGGCACATCTGCCCGATTTCGCGGCGGGCGCTGATTGTCCATGGCGGCAAGATCCGATTTCCTTGTTTAGAACAGAGAATACATGTTGTGCAAGTTCGGCGGTGACATGGCGGCGAGGGCAACCACGGAGCCGCCAGACGGACACCCGGGGCCAGACGACGGGCGGCGACGATGCGGCGACGTGGCGGCGACGGCGACCACGGAGCCGTCAGACCCCCAAGCCCAGACGACGGGCGGCAACGATGCGGCGAACGGGCGGCCAGACCGACACCCAGGGCCAGACGACGGGCGGCGACGATGCGGCGACGGGGCGGCGACGGCGACCACGGAGCCGTTAGACCGACACCCTGGCCCAGTTCCTTAGAAAAGAAGCACCAACTCCTGAGTGTAAGCAGTGCTTGGGGAATCGTGTATGTTTTCAAACGTGCAGCGAGCTCACCAGTCGCTGGAATGGTGGGGCGGCGCGTGGGGCACGCGACATAACTGTAAGCTGGGCATGTCTCTCTACAGGAGGAGTACTCAAGAATGGAAACCATAGTCTGTTGCCCATGTTTCGACTATTGTTTGGATCTGCCTGCAGGAGGGCCTGCCCTCTCTGGAAGGCGCACCCTTCGCACCTTTCGTGGCCCACGGGGCACTCCACCCAAGGCCCTCGCCCCAGCGGCCACGGTCGCGCGGTGGCCCCGACTCATTTCGGCGCACCTCTCGCGCCCTGCGTGGCCGGGGACAGACATCCACCGAGGGTGGGCTTCGTGGGGCCCCGTGAGCGGGCCCCTACGGGCGACGCCAGACCCCGCGCCACATGCCACACGCCAGCTCATGGCGCGCCCACGCGGTGATCGCCCGAAAGCCGAACCGGGAAAGCCCACTCCGAACTCGATGGCGGGACGCGTATCCGCCCCTGGTGGCCGAAACCAGTGGCACTCCCGACCAGGCCATGACTGCGTTACGTGACGCAAAGCTCAGTCGCGCTTCTAGCGCGTTCGTGAAGTAACGATTTCGTGAAGACACATCGCATGGCTTCACATCCGTCGACCTCCATGACCTGTTGTTCGCTACTTTGGAATGGTTCAAGACGGCAGCAATCATTCATACTAAGAGCCTTTCCACACTGGGCAAGGGAAAGCGATGACATACCAAGCGACGCAGAGGCTGTCACGCGCTCCTGCCGCAGCTCCACGTCGTCGCCGAAGACCTCTCTCGCCTGGGCCAGGGCGTCCTCCATGGACCGGCCCACGAAATACTTGTCCGAACCTGTAGGCAGAAAGTGGAAAAGAAATCTGGCTGAAACTGGTCCTGGTCCCCCGGGCTTTCTCCACGACCAGCTTTTCAACAGGAGTGATCTTCTGACTGCGCCCGGGGTCCGGGGAGGGCCTCAGGAGCTCAAAGACTGCTAAGAAAACTCAAGAACCCTTTCCTGCAAGACTCCTTTTCTTTCTGCTGAGCCAGGCTGATTCGTCGGGTAGTAGACCGGGATCCTGTGCCCCCACCACAGCTGCCGCGAGATGCACCACCTCGGATGGCAAAGGCGATCGAAGCTGGGCGAGCCTGGCCCAGCTGCTCAGGCGGCATGAGAGGTAGCAGGAGGAGTGGAGGACGAAGAGGAGGAGGAATAGTGGGAGGGTGTTAGACGTATGGCACGCACAAAATCTGCATAAACATATGCTGTCGGAGCTCCTCGCGGATGTCCCTCTTCCAATCCCCGACCGCCACCTCCTCATCATAATCCATAACCCTCAACAAAAATCGTTGGGGTCCCATTGGCCCGTGGTAGAGTCCACTTGGGGCCTTACTGTGTCCGTTTGAAGTCGTCTTGGAGACGGATTTGGCCCGCTTGGGCTCTCGTGGGGTCATCTTGGAGCCTTGCTTGCTCATCTCAAGCGTCTGTGGGCCATCTTCGGGCCTTTTTGCGCCGTGCTGGACTGCCTAGGGCTCCAGCAGAAGCAACTGTCGGCCCTCTTGGACTCTCTTGGGGCAGTCCGAACACAATCGATTCCAGTGCGTACGACAAACGGGCCTAGATGAATGAGACCACCACGTCGGCGATGTATCTCGCATCGCCGATACATAGGCAATGCGGCGCGATCCTCCGACCCCATCTGGTCAGGACCCACGTGGGACCAAAAGGATACTTCGGGGGTCTTCTGACCCAGGTCAATGCAAACCTAGGTCAGTCAAGCCTTGCAAAATCATGCAAGATCCTGCAGGATCCTGCACCCAAACCTGGGTCAGTGCACCCCTGGCGCTGCAGGATCGTGCAAGATCCGGCGCTCTGGCTGACCACCGTTTGCATTGACCCCCGTCTCGTAAACCCCGAATATTGGCGGATGGGCGGTTGCCGGAAGGCGTCTGGGGCGGCCGCGGTTGCTTCTCCTGCAGCCAGCCCCTCCAGATCTTCTTGTAGCGGTCCTGGCGAGAGAGGGGGGCAGTAAACAGACAGAAAGAGAGAGAGAGAGAGAGAGAACAAAAGAGAGAGAAAGAGAGAAACAGAGAAAGAGAGAGAGAGAGAGGAGAGAGACAGAGAAGCGGAGAGGTGCATGTCTATGTGTACATACGTAGCACCCCGCAGTTGCGGATAAGAGTGAGGGGGCGGTGGGGACGTCGACAGTCTGCGAGACTCTGGAGAAGCCCGCTGCAGGCGCCAACGTTTCACACATTATACAACGAGCCCGCTGCAGGCCCCAGGACATAAACTCTTTTTTTGGCGTGGGAACGTCACGCTTTCCGTAGCAAAACCGTCGAAACATACGAAACCCAGGGCACCCTGGAGGCAAGCAAGGTTTTTCTTGGCATGGGCCTCCTGTAGGAATTCCGTGGAGCTGTCAGTGCCGAAGACTGGGTGATCCCAGACCGAGTCGAACAGCCTCGACCGCCACAGGGCATTCAAACGTGTTCCTTATCAAAAGGGTCATATCGGCAAACTCCAGTGACCTCTTGAGAGGGAAGATGCGAAGATGGATATGGGATAATTATGTCGGAGGGCGTATGAGGAGGAGGAGGATGTAAGAATGCAACTGAGAATGCGGCGGGAAGCCAAGGACAAGGAGAAAGGGTGAGGAGGGAACAATGGGGATGGAGACTCTCCCGGGGACACCGTGGAGTTACTGCAGCCGACAAAATGGGAACCCCAGAACTCGCCAAACGATTGAGCAATGCCGCAGAGTGCAGACCCATGTTAACGATGTGAAGGCCCTCATGGCGCACATTTGTGACTTCCAGGGAGGGATGGAGCAAGGGAGAAGCTGGAGACAAGAGAAGATGGGAGAAGGAGAAGAAGCAATAAGCTGCAGGCGCAGGAGTGACGAGGATGCGGAGGGGCAAGAGCAAAGACAAGGAACAAGAACAGAAGACGACTGCGGCGACTCACCACCGCGGCGACTCACCACCGCCCCCCCGGCATTCAGAACGAGCTCATTGATGTTCACATTCCCGCCATCTCTGGGCTCCGACTCCCAGACGGCCAGAGAAGCCCCCCAGATGGGCCGCAGACGGCCGGGAAGGCCCCCCCTGCAGGAGGGGCTCGGAGCTGGCCCGAGAGGGCCCTCAGACTGCCCAAGAGCCCAAGAGGCCGCCAAGGCGGCGCGAAAGGCCGTCACGAGGGCCGGCAAGAGGGGCCAAGGAGGCCCGAGAGGGGGCAGCCCGCAGGAGCCTTCGGGGGCCCTCCCCGAGAAGATGGCCCCAGAGACGCCCAAGAGGCCCCGGGATTCCCCCAGGAGGCCCCCAAACGAGCTCGCAGAGGGCCCCAGAAATCACCCCGGAACCCTGGAAAAGGCGCGCCCCAGGGGCCGCCCCCAGAGGCGCTCCACGAGGCCCCCGAGAAGCATCGCAGAGACGCGGGGGGGAAGAGGCACGAGCTAGAAGTCGCGCACGGGCACCACGACGGGACGCGGAAGGCAGCACACAACCCTGAAGGGTCTGTAGTTTTGGACCTCGGCGGTGAATAAACTGGCCCTCGCTCCTTCCTCCCTCCTCCTCCTCCTCCTCCTCCTCCTCCTCCTCCTCATAACGTTACTCCTCCTCCTCCTCCTGAGGCCTCCTCCTCCTCCTCCTCGGGCCTCCTCCTTCTCTTCCTTCTCCTCTTCAGCTGGGGGGGCGGCACATCTCCTCAACTGGGGGGCCGGCGGAATGGCGTATAAGCCCCTTGAATAAGACCACCCTTCGGATGAGAAGAAGGCTGTTGGGGGGGCTTGGGGGATCGGTGCATCTGTTGGTTTGCGATGGGCGCCGGATCGGATTCGCAGGCAATCGATCTGACGATCTCGTCATCGATCTATCGATTTCCCTGTCGGTCGCACTGTGTGCCCCCCAGCTCTTACAAGACTGCCTTTCGGGGCAATGAGGAGCTTGCGGGAGGGGAGGGATGGGTGCAGCGTTCGGTTTGCGATTGGCGTCGGATCGGATCCACGAGCCATCGAACGACTTCCGTATACAGAGCTCGATCTCCCCTAAAACGATTTCGACGTATACGTATGTGTATATATATATATATATATACAAACCGGTGTGGCTACCAATGAATGGATCCACCTATGAATTGATCCCACTACCAGTAGATCAATCGTCATCACTACCACATGTTGACCCAACCATCTACACATGAATACATATATATATATATATACACATATATATACATATATATATATACATATATAAATGTATACTCATACGGTCATATACCAGGCAATCCGTATACTCATCGTCTTGGACTTTCTTCGAAGGGGCACCACAAGGCCGAGGAGCCTTGGATGTGGATAACAATCTAGCCTGTTGGGGCCAGATGTTAGTTCATATCGTGTGCGCCTCATGCTTCTGGGGAAGAGAGCCCGAAACTCCAAGACGCACTAGATGTGGATACAGATACATATATATATATATATACATATATACATATACATACATTGCCCGCACATATACATGTGTGTGCTTGTACGTATGTCGGCCTCACTACCTGTACACATATAGACGGGACAACCGCGGGACAGCTGCAAGCCAACCACATGGCAACCTGCGGGAGAGCATACGGACGGCCATATGCGGGAAACCATCCATGAGAACGAGAACACACGCGAGACCCTACTAGAGACCATACGGGAGACCCTGCCCGAGACCACACGGCAGGCTCGCGTCGTGTCGACCCCGGCGCTGGTTCCTGACACCGCGGGGGTCGTGCAGACTGGAGCGATCGGCCCTCGCAAAAAGGCCGGGTCGTCCGAGGATGGGCCGATGCTGGGCCACAGGCGGCGTTCAACCTTCAACGCCCGCGCTGGGGTCGCCGCCGGCCGACACGACGCGAACCTGCCATGCGGGAGGCCATGCGGGAGACCATGCGGGAGACAACGGACCCCATACACGATGTTCCTCGAGAGTCCTGGCTGGGCACTACCGCACTCAGACTACAGGTGCTCCCCCCGCCTGACTGCAGCCCGCCGCCCCCGCCCCCCTGGAACCCAGGTGCTCCACGCACGCCGTCCCATGAGAGAAGCAGTAGAACAAGAAAGTCATATATATATAGAGAGAGAGAGAGAGACACCAGTGGAGACAGATAAATACAGAGAGCGAGAGAGATGGGAAGCAAGAAGAGGAGGGGTTAAGGGCGTTGAAAGTTCCTGTGCACGCGTGCGTGTCCTGCGCTTCCTGAGCGCGTGTCCTCCAGTCTGCAGTGCAGGCGTCGTGTGAACGCGCGCACGCGCATGGGGTTCGGCGCGCATGGGGGCTCCGCTCTGCGAGGGTCCATGCTCAGGAGGGCGCCAGTGCTCTTCCAAGCAAAGCATGCAGGAAGCCAAGAGGTGGGGGAGACCAAACCATGTGGAAGACCATACAGTAGGGGCCCGACCACAAGAAGCCTTCCACAAGAAGCCCACTCCTGAGTCCCCAGAACGTCCGCTGATGTTTGGTGTGGGAACGTCACGCTTGCGATAGCAGAACCATCGAAACCAAAGAAACCCAGGGCACCCTGGACGCGAGCAGGGTGTTTCTTGGCATGGGTCTCCACTGTACGACCCACCAACTCCAGATCCACAAGGGCTCACGAGTGCCTTGAAGAAATGATTAGGACCACTCGGGCAGGCTGGTTCCGGGAACACCGAGGCACCACACCTAAAACAAGTCAGAGATTTTTGCTGCATGGTGCCCTCCTGAAGGGCCTCTTGAAACCTTGTTGGGACGCCGTGAAGCCCTCTCAGGAACGTCTTAGGGCCGTCTTCGGGACATGTTGGAGCCGTCTGGCGTCCTCTACGTGTGCCAGGGGCTGCCTCCAGGGGTTCTTTGGGCGTCCAGGGAGGCCGGCAGCACGAAATGAACCGGGAGGCCCCAGGACCAGCGGGGCCCTGAGCTGGGGCACCCCCTATCCAGCATCACACGTGTACACGTACATGTAGTACGGACGCTCCCCACCCGCCGCACCTTGACATTCAACGATGTGCACATGCTGCGCAACTGCCGCTGCGCCAGTGCCCCCCTTGATAACTCGGGTGTCGCCAGAGGTTGCCATGGTGCAAGCAGGACCCCCGCCTTTCCGGGGAGGCTCAGGTTAGAGATGGGATACAGAACACCCGTCCCCAGGCCCACGAAAGGCGTCTTGGTCGTGGAACTCACGGGGCCCAAGACACGCAAATAAATACACACATCCCAGGATTCCCCCATATCTGTTCATACTTTCTGGGTTTTCCTCTTCCTCCCACTTTCCATAGTTTCCCATCTGTTCTTGGAAGTCGACGTTGAATTGTGCCTGTGTTTGTTCCGCCCCCTGAGGGACACCTGCTACAACCTCCCAAAGACGCCAGAGTCCGCGGGTCCGGCTGGATGTCGGTCTCCCCGGACTCCACGACGTCCATGGCCTTCTGCGCCATCACCTTCGGGAGGAGAGCGGGGCGCAGACGGCGGGTGCTGGCGAGCCCAGCGAGGCCCGCTGGAAGAGCGGACGAGGCGACGGCGACGGGGATCCGCCGCACGCGTGAGCTGGAGCGCAGCGGCTATCGGACCGGGACCGGGTGTGCGCGAGTTCCTGCTCATGGTAGCCTTGTGGATGCCATGACAATGGACACGCTAACCCTATCATTTAAATGATAATGTGTTTCAAATGTGTGAAGCATGTTCTGGACATGTTTTCAACGTGTGTTTGTACATGCTTGAGACATGTTCGAAACATGCTCTAGACATCTGGAAATGATTGGACAGCATGCTTCCTCTCCATGGATCGTCTCCCACAATGGTAGCCTGCCAGCGCACATCAGCGTGGGAGCGCCACTTGCAGAACAGGAGGCAGGGGACGCCACTGCACCACGGCCAAAGTTGGCAGGCTCTGGGGACGGCTCGAGACCCTGAGCACCGAGGATGGATCCAAGGAGGCCACGGGAGGCCACGACGGGGAATACAGGTCACCAGCAACAGCTCGAACTTCAAAGATCCAGACCAGTTCGGTCAGGACTCGGATGCAAAGGAGGATTCGATCCACATCGCTATCAAGCACAATCGCGGCATGGCACACCGGAATTCAGCACGGCGCAGCACAGCACATCAAGATCGACACATCAAGATCGACACATCAAGATCGACACACTCAGCATCGACACATCAAGATCGACACACTCAGCATTGCAACCGGGCACGCTCCCTGGCACGTGCCGTGGCGCGTCCCGCTCAAAGGGCCCCCACAACCGTGTGCCCGTGCTCATCTTGCCGCCGCTGGCCTGGCGCGCCCCCACGAATATGCATCCCACGGAAGCAGGCCCGCACCGCTGCCGAGGCGTACCCGAAGGGCCAGGAGAGGCGCGTGCCGCTCCTCGGCTCCGCGCGGACGAGAGCGCGGCGCAGAGAGGAAGGAACGGAGCAGACAGCGGGGGGACAGGATGAGCATCGCTTAACCGATCCCCATCCCTACCGGCGCGGCCCGGGCACCACTGGCCGATCTGCCCCCCAAGATGGGGATATGGGCTGCTCCCGTCGTGTCTCGAGGGGTCATCCCCACCGGGGGTGGTGGGATGGTGGGGCTCGTGACCGACAGGACGACATGCAGGGCCGAAAAGATGCCGCTGCGACTCCGACGCCCTGCGACGGTGACGCACCTGAATCAAATCCACATCCGAGGCGACTTCCTCCTCACCCATCCAGTCAGCACATGTAGGGCCGCCCGGCTAGCGGTGACGAGGCACGACGACCGAATAGGAGGATCAACCTGCTGCATGCTTTCTCGGGCTTGCACCAGGCAGCGGGCAGCGTGACCGGCAGCTTTGAACTTGGAAACCGTTTCGGCCCCATCACTCCTCCCCTGCAGCGACGACGGTGGACGGGAACGGGGAGGGACTTGAGGCCTGCACCACACGAGGGCACGGGATTAGAACAGACAGACACAGGGTGAACACGATGAGCAGATCAAGATGAGACAATTCAGGAACGTGTCAGCAGCGACGGCCAACGACTCCAATATGGCCGTCCACGAGCTACCCAGGATCGCACATCGATGGAATCGCTCGCACAAGCAAGTGGACGGCATCCGACGCGACCCGCCCTTGCAGGGGAGGCGTCGGCCTCGGGGGCCGCGTAGAGTCGGACGGATCGGTGCCAGGCCAGAGTGTGGCCCATCCAGCAGCAGGCAGCCCCGGGACTCCCCCGTGGACAAAACCATGGAACGATTGGTTCCCTGTCGTGCCGCTGTGGACCTCGGCTTCTGGCATCGCGTAGATCGTTCACAAACTCTGGTGATCCCCGCTCGCCGAGATCGTCCACATGGGACTGCTGGAGGCCGCCGTGGCCTTCGACCGTGAGCGCCCGCGCGCATGTCGCCGCCGCGTAGACGCGTCGCGAACCCGTCGCAATCGCATGAGTGCACGATAGCGTGGCCGCAACAAAGGGGAGCACCTCCGTCCTCGCGAACCACTGGTCCGACAGCATCGGCTCGATGACCTCGCCGCTGCGCTGCGACAGAGGCACCCGTTGCTGGTGGTCCTGCGGCGTAGGAGTAAGGCCACCCTCCCTTATCCGCCCAACCCATCCCTGTTTCCTTCTTCTCTGCACATTGCCATACAACCATGTCCCTCTGATCCCCTGCCGCCTCGAAGCCTCTACAATCAGTCGACACACATGCTTCTCCCCTCTTCCTGAATACTATCGTTACTCGATGCCGCCTATCCCGCAGTACCGGTGTCAAATCACAAGAACTGCCCGACGAGATGTTCGGCATTGGTCCGCTATTTTCAGACGCGTCTGGCCTCCGTGCAGCGGAACGTTGCTCTCGCTGCATCGTGGGCAGTATTCTTGTATCCGCACAAGTGGTGATGCCGCTGTGGCGTGTGCTTCGTTCTTGAGTAATACTGTTTCCCTGGCTCAGTGGACAAATCTCCCGCCGCAACGCTACCCGCACTCTTGCAGCAATGTGTATATACACACCAGTACATGTGTATAGACATATCCCCTTGCAACGCTCGCCACATGTGCTTACCTGTGTACATTGCCCTATTCCTCGTCTTCCTCCGTCCGACGACCTCCTGCGCAATCGGTCAGTGTTCCTGTTCCGCCCTCCGCCCCTCACCTCCGTCATGCCCCATCCCAGTTCCCCTCATCCTCTCCTGTGCCCCCCCCCTCTCTCGACATCCAGGCTCCGCTTGGGCACAACGTTGCCCTTTCGAGATCCATACCTTCTTCGCCGAACGACTCTGCGAACATTTTACGGGATGAGAGGGGAGGAACATGATGGCAGAGATTGCTGGAGAATGCCAATAGTTCCCTTCCCCGTCTCTCCTCTCCGCCCTTGCTCTGGATTGAACAGGAGGACCTCCTTACCACAACCCCATTGTCTGCCACCGTGCCCTCAGGCAGAGGTTGGAGTGTCCTGAGGTCCGTGGCCTAATCCCTCGAGCCTCAGTCTCCAATCCCGAGGATTCTTCAAGGGGCCCATACAACAATCGTCAGTCTCTCGGGGCTTGTCGCGTGCCTGGGCATTGTCGCATCACTTGCTCGGGCCCCCGAGGGCCCCAGAACGGACCAAGAGCGCCCCAAGAGGCCCCCAAGGCGGTCCAAGAAGGCCCCCGAAACGCCGCACGATCGGTCCAAGACGCCCACGTTGACCAGAAGACGGCTGAAGAGGCGCCAAAGACGCCCCAAGAGAGGCCCAAGAGGCCTGCCAAGAAGGCCCGAAGGAGCACAGATCGGCCGAATCCCTTCGGAAAGCTTACATTGTGAGCATGTACGACGTTTCGGCCTCACGGCGTTCAAGACGGCCCAGGAAGTCCCCAAGATCGCCCCAAGACTGCCAAACGGGCCCCAAGAGGGCCCCAAGACGGCTGACGAGGCGCCAAAGACGCCCCAAGAGAGCCCCAAGACGGCCCCAACTAAGACCCCAGGAGGGGAAACACGAACCAAGAACTCGCCCCAAGATACCCCCAGGAGGCCCCAAGAGGCCCCAAAGAGGCCCCCGATATGCTCCAAGAGGCCCACGCGGGGACGGCCACGACATCCCAACATACATCCAAGAGCCTCATCACCCACTCAACCCATGCACGGTGGCGGAGTGGAGCGAACGCAGCTCAGCAGTCCCCCTGATACCACTCAAAAGCAACCTGGAGCCAAACGATTCCTCCTCCACCGTCGCCGCATCCTCCCTTCTTTCCCATTGGGGGGGTGGCAGCGGTGGTGGCCCATCGACTTCTTGCGCCGATGGGGCCGCAAGGGAACAAACTATCTCGCCACAGAAAACAATCTCGCCGATGCTGCTGCGTGCCCGAAGGTGGAGGCGCTGGTTGGGCCAACCTTCCAGGTCCATGATGCAGAATTGTCATCTCCGACCCTCCTGAAACCTGGAAACAAAAACGTGAACACGTACGCGCTCAGCTGTATGCGCGTACAGCGACGGGTATTCGCTCTCGTTTGCCTCCGTGGGCGTTTGCCAGACAAGGGTCGGTGAAAACATGTGCGGCGCCGGGCGCAGGCATGAGATATCCACATGGCAAACCAACAACGAGCGCGACGGGCAGTCCAGATGGAATAATCGCGTTCACCTCCACTACAGAACAAAAATACTTCAAGCAACCTTGGTTCGTTGAGTAATATCACACCTGCAACACCACCTTATCGCACGTCTGCCACAGCATATGTCACCAGACTGGTTTGCCGAGGATTTACACGGTTCGAACCCATCGTCTCGAACCCGCCACGCGCCCCGAAATCTGAACATAGACGGGGACCCACAAAATCACGGAGACCCCGAAATCCAGTCGGAATCAGGCTAGATTCGCCACTACCCTCATCAACAAAACACGTCCCTTCTCACTGCAATCGTGCCAGCACAGTGGCGTCGTTGTGTGGGGGGAATCGCACGCACCTGAAAATTGTTTTGCACATCCGCAACACACATACAAGAAACAAACAGTTGCGACCGTCACGCTGGTATCACCCTGCCGAGACGCCAAGATGACTTCTCCTGGCCATGCTCTTCTTTCATCCGCCTCCCTCGGAGGTTTTGGCGCTGGCAGTCTCGAGGGCGATTGGCTGCGTCAGAAGGTGTCTGCGCACAAGAGACTCCCTACCGCACGAAACGTGCCGCTCGGCACCAGAGTCTGCCATCAAACAGAAGACGCCGTACGCGACCACATGCTTGCCGATGCTGATGGACTGCAACGCCACGCGAACAAACCATCTGACCAATGGCATTGCAGGAGGTCCTTGTCGCCGTTGCAGTCGTCCTTCATATGCTCCATATGCTGCTCTGCTTGCGTTGTTGTGGATGGCTCAAATGTGGCTACGGTTGTCCTTTGCCGGGCTGGTACTGCCGATCTGCCGCCCGATAGTTCACCAGCCTCGTTGGCCCTGGACCATCTCAGTGTTGTGCCATGTGCCAACTTGCTAGCTCCGATCTGGCTCTGGTTCCTTCGAGAGAAACTCGGTTACGGCACGAGCGTCCCAGGTGCGCCGCCCGAGCTGATGGTTCCGATGCAGCTGGGACTTGCGTTGGCAAGTCCTTCGGCAAATCCCGTACCTTCTTTCTCACACTCGTCCATTCAGTTGCTCGGCTGTCCTACTGGCCACTATGGAAACACATTCGGCCATTGTCGTTCGGCCATCCTTGTGTGTTGACCCCAGGAGCTGCTTAACGTGCCAGGATGCGCGTGCCACCTGCGTTGCGGGAGACGCGGCACTTGTCACCCATGGCACACGAGGCGTCAGCCGATCATGTAGAACGAATATAGCACGCATGCGTCCTTGCCTTCGCCTTTCCCGCCGTCCCAAAACCTTGCCCCCATCGCCCGCTGCTGCAGCGCCACCTAAGATGCTTATCGGCGGCGGTTGGGTGTCGCTGGTTCCCGCGTCGTGTGAAAGTGCCCACTCGACCGCCTTTCGCACAAGAATTTCGTAAATAGCTTGGACATCTCTCGGGCGCGTGCCCGACACCATGTGCGCTGCCACATGGAGCGGCTTGACCTCAAAGATCAGCCTCCGCAGAGAACGCAAAGCGGTTTGCTGGGTGGGGGCGCAATCTGCGCCTCGCAAATTGCCGTAAATAACCTTCCGCACCCGAAGCGCGAGCTGCAGCTTGGATTGGTGAGCGTTTTTTTATTCGGCGTTTCGACATTGAGCGAAGAGGGGGGGGGGTCTGGCTCCAGACCTCTGCTTAGTGCGACTGTTTGCAGCAGTGCGTCCACTATGGGGGAGGCCCCACCTGCTCGAAACAGGCGCCCCAAATCAGCCAAGATCTACTCCATCGGGGAGGGAGGGAGGGTGGTCGCGAGGGCCCGCGCCGATCGGCAATACAAGGAATAAAAAAAACGCTCACTTGTCGGTGGCCGTTTCGGGGTCGGTGAACTTACCACTCGACTTCAGCACGGCCACGGCAAACTCCGCTGGCACGGAGATGCCGAGATGCCACACGCACGGTCGTTGTGAAGGCAAGGGGCGGTGTACCCCCCCAAAGCTAGAAAAAACGAACGCCTTGTTGGCTTCGGTGTAGGCAAGGCCGTCGTGCACCAGTGAAGTGTCCATGTCTGGGCCACCGAGGACAACTTGCGCCTCTTCAGCCAAACCATCACTGCGAAGCCCGCACCAGCTGGCAATAGAAGAAAAACAAACTACCTAAACATAAATTGATGGCGCTCCGCGCGGACCTCTTGGATCTACGCTGGACCGCGGCGCCAAAGACACCGCTGGAGGGGCCCAGCGCGGATCCGATAAGTCCGCGCGGAGGGCCAAAAGTTTATGCTTATGGCATTAGTTCTTCTTCTTCGAAAGTTGCGCCTCGTCCGCACTCTGAAGCCTGCCCGCACCAGCTGTAGAGACAAGCGCGTTCCACGACTCGCACAGTAGCGACTCGCAAATGGCCTGGATCTGCCATGGAGGAGCTACGATGCGTGTCATGGATGCAGATATGTATTTTTCGGACGTTGGCGGGTGGGCACTCTGCGACCGGCGAAACGCGCTCGGTGGAGCTGGCAAGCTTCGCGTGGACCGACGGCTGCCGTGCCTTCGCTGGCCGGACGGGGCCCGTGGGACCTCGCGGCCAAGCGCGCAGCGGCTGCCTCTCGACATGGATGCAGACGTGTGTGCTTTTCGGACGCTTGCGGGTAAGCACTCTGCGACCCGTGAAACGCGCTCGGTGAGGCTGGCAAGCTTTTCGCGTGGACCGACGGCCGCCGTGCCTCCGCTGGCCGGACGGGGCCCGCGGGACCTCGCGGCCAAGCGCGCAGCGGCTGCCTCTCGAGCTGCCGCCGCCCCCGCCGCCGCCTGTGGAATGGCAGACGGCGCACGGTGCGACCTCTCCAAGGGTTGAGAGGTGGCCCTGGGACACACAACAGGAAAGACAAATCCCAAGATCCCCCGTAGGTCCTGACATGTTCTGGATTGTCATCTTACCCTCACTTCCCGTAGTTCCCCATCTTGTCCCAGGAATCGACGATTCATTGTTGCTGTGTGTGCTTGTCCCTCCTGAAGTATGCGCACCAGACAGACGTTCGGGTCGG